TCTGCAAGGCTGTGCCAGACCCTGCACGGTACAGCCATTGCTCATCACACCAGGAGGGGGTCACAGACATGTGGATATGTGATTCAGTGCTTGAGGGGGAGCACAGCTGAAAGAGGGGGTGAGCTCTACAGGGAGCACCGAGGGGACTAGTTAGGCTGCAGAGGTGCTGCGGTGGACCAGGAAGAGTTAAATCCTTTCCTCCCAGAGAAAAGATTGCTGTGGACACATACAGGCATGGGGCGCAGGAGGGGTGTGCCCAGGTTCACAGAGAGCATTGCTGTGTCTGTTAACCCAGTGAGATGAAGAGAGGCAGAGACAGAGATCAGGGGACAGAGACCGACCAGAGTAAGCGTTGGACAAGGGAGAACAAAGAGAAATCCTTACAGAGCCCACGAGAGCTGGGGCGACAGTGCTGTTGATATGATCCACGGCCTGCAGGACCCCTAAAGAAAGGAAGAGGCAGAGAAAGAAAGAGAGAGAGAGAGAGAGAGAGTGAGGCAGAGAAAAGAGTGGAAAGAGGGAGGGAGAGGGCCAATAGAGAGACTGAGAGAGGGAGACAGCAAGGGAAGATCGAGGCCTGATCTTTCACGTTATGCTATGTCTGTGCCTCTGTGGTCTCCCTGAGGGCGGTGGGAGACATCTGTGTCACACCAGTGAGTAGGCAATACCCTCCAGCAGAGCCCCACACACAAGCAGCCCCGAGGATGAGCTGTGGAGCAGGCATCTCCCCACCTTTTCCAAGGAAACGTGACTTGTCGTTGTCTCGCAGCTCCAGCGCTTCATAGATACCAGTGGACGCTCCACTGGGGACGGCTGCTCGAAACATGCCTGGGAAACAGCAAAACAGGGTTGTGAGATAAGCAGAGGGTGAAGAGGAAAAACCCCCATGCACCTGCTTCTGCTCTGCTTTCATAGGAAAGGATGCAACAACTGCTTTTCCAAATGGATAGCCCACTGGCTGTCTGCTCATGCTCCCTAGAGGTGGAGCACCTCACTGGCAGAAATAAATGCACCCAGGGCTTCCAGGCTGAGGAACTTGGATGTCAGGCACCCAGAGATTCACTCTGATCCCAGAACTGTGTGTGATGGGTGGAAGTTCCTCAGCCCTCCTCCTAGTTCCAGAAGCAGCCTGACTCACAGCCACCCTCAGGTTCCTCCCCCTCAGACTGAGGTTTCTGCCTCACTGAAGAAGGAAGACAATGGCTGCATGCCTGCTCTGGCCTCTCACTGCTCCTCACCCCTCGGCCCAAGCAGTTTTGGGCCCAGTGCAAATGCAGCTCTTCCAGTTGAGATCCATGCATGGACGCAGCTGATTGACTGATCTCAGGAACAAAGCTTTACCCCTGCCATGAGCGTGGCCATAGATGTGCTACCAAATATCTACTATGTCCCAGGACTAAAAGCATAGCTGCAGCAGGGGTATGATGAGAAGGTGCAGACATTTATGATAAAAAGACCTTCTGTCCCTGCTACGGGCAGGAGCATGGCTTGTGTCACACACAGGACAGCCAGCTGTCTTGTCGTGATTTGCCCAGCATGTGTGCAGATTGCTGAGCACAGGCACGAGCAGAGCCACGAGCAGAGTTTTGGTTTCTGCCTCTTCCCCTGACTTGTTGTCTGCTGGGGGTTCTCCCATGTGGACCCTCCATGCTCTTGGCATTCCAGGCTGCTGCACAGCACCAGCTCTGCCGGGGTGGGCAGGGCTTGCCTTCTGTCTCCTATCCTCATCCACATACCTTTGTGTGTGTAGAGGTCCACCTCAACGGTGGGGTTCCCACGGGAGTCCAGGATCTCACGGGCATGGATCCTCTCGACTGCCATGGTGAGTCTGTCAAGAGGAGAGAACAGGATATGCTCATCTCTGAGAGGCACCCAGGATGTGGTGCTCACCCCTCCTATGTCTAGACTGACAGAGAAAAGAGAATTTAAGGAAAAGTGACCTTAGAAATTTGGGCTAAAACTATTTGCTCCAGGAAATTTAGAAATTCACCCAGACTACAGGAATCTATGAACATTTTTCCAGGAACTGGCTAGCTGTTGAATTTACCCTGTCCCTCTGCTGCATCTGACAAACTAGGAGCAGTCTGCCTCTCCCTGCGTCACAGCACAGCGCCCGACACAAGCCTGGATGGCAGGGATGGGGAGGGTGCCACAGGCAGCAGAGAGGGAGGGATCAGCTGGTGCAGCGGGGAGGTGCCCCTGGCTCTGGTGTCAAGGACGGGGCAGCAGCTCCTGGCATCTCCTGTCCCCTTGCCGAGAGCCAGGACAGACAACAATGGCTGCTGTGTCCCTGTGCAGGGAATGGGGAGCCAGGGAAGTGTGACAGGCAGGGCAGGGGCAGCCAGCCAGGGCGGACCCCCAGCCCCTCTCCAGCCCACGGCAGGGGAGCCATCCCATCCTGGCTGTCCCAGACCCTAGCCTGGCTGTCCAGACACCAACCATGTCCTCTCTGCTGAGCTCCTGCTCAGCGTCCCTGTGTCTCCCCGGGCTGCAGGGTCAGGCTGCGCCAAGGCAGCGGGAGCGTGGAGCCTGGCAGCCTGGAGCCATCTTGTTGAAGGCCACAGCACCTCAGAGGTGGCAAAGAGGGCTCTGAACAGAGGGGGCACCTGGCCCAGCTGCCAACCCTTCGCTCCGCTCCTGAGGCAGGGGAGCAGGTGAGACTGGGCTGGATCTCTGTTGGGTGGGGGAGATGAGGAAGCCTGGCATTTTGGGGCACCTGGTTAAACCTGAAGTAGAAAACATGCTGGTGGGTAATGATGGCTGTTTGAAAGAGCTTCTCTTTGCTGCAGTTTGCTCTCCAGGGTTCCAAATCAGCTCCTCATGCCACCTTCTCTTCCCCCTGGCTGTGGGGATGCGCTATGCTGGGGGGCTGCAATGAGGCGTGTGTCCCTCCGTGCTCCCAAGTTTTCCTCTCCTGGCTCCCACAGATGATTCCCTCAGCTGTGAGCAGGGCTGGCAGAGGCCAGAGTAGCCATGGAGCCCCAGCTAGGACCTCCCCATGGTGTGTGTGAGCAGGGGTACAGCCAGCACAGGGCCTCAGCACCGGGCAGGGGAGAATGAGCTTGAAGCAGCACATCACAGCACCGAGGGGAGCTGAGAAGCAGGGTGGGGAAGCCAGAGCCAGCACCCAATGCCCCAGTGGGTGGAAATCACAAGGGCATGAGGAAATCCTGCTGACACTCTGTTGAAGTTTCAGCCAGAGCTTCTCATGTGGGGAGTTGTGGTCAGTGACTCCAGGGTTCTCTGGAGCCTGCACAGGGCCCTCCACCATGTCCATCTGGGCTGGGATCCCCCATCAGCCGCTTTGGCACTGCTCCTCACGCCATCTGGCACATGCCACAGGAACTTCCTCCAGAGTCGTGCCAGCACAGCCAGCCGTGAGCTTCCTTTGCAACAGTGTCCTGGCCGTGCCTCAGGAGCCTCCATGGGGTACAGAGGGACAGGACCCCGCTTAAAGTCATCTTTGACAGCACACCCATGCCAGATGCTGTGGCTCACTGCTTATCTGGTCACGTTGTCCCTGGTCACATCCCTGTGGTCACATCCACCTGCCCTCTTGGAGACAGATCCGAGGAAGCCAAATGACAAGCTCAAATCCAGCCTTGCCTGCCCCACCCCATCACTTACATTATCTTCTCTCCCTCACAGACATTTAAAGCCTTTTCTCCACTTGTGTTGCTGCCCCGTGTCCCCTGCATTTTCTCTCTTTTGAGCAGAACCACCCTGAAATCCCTGGTATCAGCTGCACTGTCCTGAAAGGAGGTCAGAGGCGGATAAGCTGGGATAAGGGATTGGGATGGAGCCACGGCTGGGAAGCCACAGACCACGTCCAGGAAGAGAGAGGAGGCTGTGCAGCCGCCGTGAACAGGGGCTGGGCAGCGTATGCCAGGAGGCTGGTGCTGCTGCAATGCCTTCCTGTGGAGCTGGCGCTGGCAGCAGTTCCCTGTCCCTGCCAGGCCAGCACGGTGAAGACCTTTCCCCCAAGGCACGGCCACCAGTCCCCTGTGCTGCTGCGATTCCCCCGGGCTGGGCACTGCTCCCGGGAAGCCCGCACTGCTGCAGTGTCGTGACTGATGCAGCTACTGCTTGCCTGTCACCTCCTCTCCCTGCTCTCCCCCTCCCCGTGGTGTGGGGCTGTGCAAACAGGAAAACATCCCCTCTTCTCCCTCCCTCTCCCCCAGGGAGGTGTTGTTTATGGCAACACCTCGGGAGGCTGGGGGGGCTGGTCCGCTCTGAGGCTGGATCCTTTCCCCAGCGGTGCCTTCTCCCCACTACCACCCCCTCCCCCGGGAAAGCTCCATCCCGCAGCACCTCCCGACAGTGCCCTTGGAACACCACCTATGCTCGTTGGTTGTCCCCCCTCCTGCAATTCCCTGGGTTCACGTCTGAAATTATGATTGCCGCGAGGGGAAAGGAGGGGGGGCTTGGGAAGGAGGGAGTACCTGAAATTAAAATAGGAAAGAAAAGTCAGAAGGATGGGGGTGAGGAGACCGAGGTGGGAGGAGCAGGGGGAGGAAGTGAGGGGAGCTGAGTGGTTAATGCCGCTCACCGCGGTCCTTCTCCGCAGGGACCCCAAAGTGCGTGTGGGGTTTGGAGGGCACAAGGTGGGCAGCAGAAACATGCACGCAGTGAGGGGTGTGCTGGCCGTGGAGAGACACTTACCTTCCTAGGGCAGGGGTGGACGAGAGATTGAGAAAGTGGTGGTAGAAAGGAGAGAGGACGAAGCTGAGGAGGGATGCAGGACCTCAAGGGGAGATGATGTGTCCTCTAAGCCAACGGTGGCGGCAGCAGCAGGATGGAGACGCCCCTGATAGGGCCGGGACAGCAGCATGTGACCCAGAGCTGCGATGAGTCAGGATTTAGCAAAGCTTTGCAAACAGCACGTAGGGGATGGAGAGACAGAGAGAGGCAGGCAGCTAGGGAGAGACGTAGACAGATGAGGGTGAGAGAGCCAGGCAATAGGAGTGGGTGTGCAGGATAAACAATCCCAGTCACTCCAGGCTCATTAATTATTTTTATTCAAATCAGAAAATCTTGCAGGGTTTTTGGGAATCAAATCGAACCACAGAACCTGTAACTCTCCCCTTTCCCCTCTCAGGCCTACTGAGAATAGAACATAGTGCAGTGACTGCAAAAACACTGCAGTGCCTCAGGGCAGCTTCCAGGACCAGGGTGAGTAGCACTCCTCTTTTCTCCAGAGGTAAAATGAGGTGAAGCTGGTACCTACAGCTCTCACTTTCTAAGCCTCACAAATGGGGAAAGACATCACTACATCTTGACAGCCTCTGGAAACAGGTGTTAAAAACAGGTCACTCAGCCACTGTATCCTCAAGAGATTCTTCAATTTCCTGAAGAAGAGAAGAGGGAGAAGTTAATGACTCCATGCCTAATGTCTCTTCCCCTTTCACTGCCCTCTTCTGCTAGCAGGGGTCAGGAATGGCAGCAGGATTGCAGGCTGGCCACCACAACCAGGCTGCAAAGCCTGGCCTCTTTTTCAGGCTCTTGTGCTCTTGAGATTGACATCCCTTACTCTTCTCCTCATGTAATTTAGTGGAGGAGAGCCTTTATCAGGATGCTTGGTCCTTTTTCTTTCTCTTTACCTCCTTCTAATCCCCACACTCCATTGTTCTCACCTTTTCTTTTTCCTTCCTTGCCTGACAGATTTTTTCAGCCTCTTCCCTCTCCTCTTCCTCGATCGATTCCTTGTCGAGGCGCTGCAGCTGTGGCAGCCGGGACAGGACCTCCAGGCGGTAAGTGGGTTCTTCAGCACATGGATTGTCCATCAGCACCAGTGCCTGCAGCATGGGGAGCACCTGCAGCTTTTCCACCTCCTGAAAGCTTTTGATCCCATTGCTCCTGAAGAAAAGGAAGCACAGACAGCAGGGGAGGGAGACCCGTGAAAGTAGTGAAATCCCTTTGGAACAATAAGCAGACAAGACAGAAAAAGCAAAACTTAGCAACATGAGGCCTTAGACCACAGATCTGTCACCTAAGATCCAGATCTGTCTGCAGCTCCCCAGACTGAGGCACAAAAAGGATATCTCCTCTGGATTCCTCTGTCCATTGAGCTGTGTGACAGCACCATGGCCCCACATGGCAAACACCGAGAACTAAAGGGCATTTGCAGGCAGAACACAGAGAACACGCTTTCAGGGACCCAACTGACCAATGGCAAGGAATGAAAAGCCTGAGGTGGGCTATGAGAATGACTGGAGAGGCTGACATTTTCTAAGAAGCCCAGGAAAGGCCCTGGCTGTTACAGCCTAGACAGCTGCTGAACACCAGTTAAGGATGGTAAATATCAAACCATCCCTACCAGGTCTTCCATTCAAAAAAAAATCCCCAGAAAATCCTAAAGATCTAAATGGGAGTGCAGACTTATGAAGGGATCTCTGGTCCCAGCACAAAGCAGGGAGGACATACCGTAGATTGAGGTACTGTAGGCACTTCATGCTATTAGAAAATCCATCCAGGGCCTCAAGCTTATTGTCACGCAGGTGCAGAGTCTCCAGCTGCTCAAACTCCTCAAGGCCTTCAAGGCTGCAAATGGTGTTCTTGGCCTGAGCACCAGGGAAGCAGGAAGAGAGAAGGAAAATGGGGACACAAAGGAGAGGGAACAGCAGTTATTTCCAGCCTTTAAATCTCTTTCTATCCTTTAGACTCCCTACCACTCATAACACAGCCTTGTCTGAAGCTTGATCAGATAGCTCAGGGTCTTGGCCAAGTCAGTTCTCAAGATTCAGGTTCAAGGACCAAAAGTTTGCTGAAATAGTGTTTCCTGGAGCATCACTTGGTGTCTGAGACAAAACCACCCCACGTGAATACTCCACTGCCATCACAGCATCCCTTTCCATGGCAACAGCAACAGCATGGAGGGGAAAGCACACCTCAGCCTAAAATTAATGTGTTTAAAGGATGAGTAACCAGTTCCTCTCAGTCACACAGTCCATGTAGTCCAGGCACCTTACATGGGGAAAATCTACAACCAAGAAGTCCCTTCAACTCCTCTGGGCTGTGTCTTACTTCAGGAAGTTTAAAATTCCCCACCACTGAATTCCATTCACTTCACTGGGATGTGGATTAACGAAGCAGGGAAATAGGTGGTAGTTTCACAGCAGGATTTCGGCTGGAAAAGACCACTAGAGGTCTCCTGCCCAAGCGGAGGCTCCCCGCAGTGCCCGCACCTACGCTCTGCTCTGTCAGGCTGCTCACCGCCTTGTGCGGTCAAGTTTGGAGCATCCCTGGTAATTATCATTTCCCCGCCACGTTCTCCAGCCTGGAGCTGAGCAGGGCTTTACTTGCCGAGGTGGCTCGGGGCTGCAGTCGCTAAGGATGCTGAAACCTGAATGGAAAATGGTGTGAGAGGTGCTGTTGCGCTCTCTCTTCCTCATAGGTACCCAAGCAATGACCTGGGCAATAATACCTGAGACTGAAAAAGGGCCACAGGCTGAACTGGTGGGATAGAAGAACATTTTAGGGTTGAGTCATTTAGGATATGGACATTTTGTAGGAAAGGAGGATTTTAACAGAAACTGGACAAAGAAGAATCTGGACCAAGTGGGCCAAGTAAAAGGAGTAACACCAGGACAAAAAGAAGAAAGTTAGATATTTAGTGAAGGCCACGTGAGCAGATTTATCAATCAGGAAGGATTAGGACACTGTACCTCAGAGAAAATGGTGAGCTGGTGTGAGTGGGGAGCTCACTGATCACTGGTTTACAAAAGGAATAGTAACATCTCAACACTCTCACTTTCTTTATCACTTCAGTGTGAATTGTTTTACCAGCTCTAGGCTTGCAAGCACTAGCAGGACAATGGAGAATGAATATTTTTCAGAGTTGTTCCATTTTTCTCCCCTAAATCAAACAACATTCTGTCTGATGCACCATCACCTTCCCTTGGATACCAGTTCTTCACCCAGATGTGATACCACTGTTTCTTATGGAAAGTTACCATACATTGCCCATGATCTCCTCTCCCCTTCTTGCACACTTCACCTTTTTCAGGTTAGCCTTTGCCACCACGGCTGCCCCATGGGCAGGAACTAACACAGCCCTACTATAACCTTCAAAAATGATGCAAATGCCATATGGCATACACCCAGCTTGTAGTCTTCCTAGCACATACCACTTTTTACATATGAAATTTAATCTGTGGCTATGTCATACATTAACCAAATGTGGTTTAGTTCCTTAAATTGAACCCTTTGTCTTGAACCCTGTCCTTGAGGCATCAGCTGCATTTATCCAAGGCTGAAATAACACCAGTCTTTATACAGAAACCAAAGCATTACTGGGGGAGATTTCCCTGCAAAATAATTTAATGAGCAGGTAGACATGGGAGATAAATTCAAGCCCCAAATATTCTTGTGAGTCAGTTGTTCTAGTTTTAACAATCACCCCTTGCAATTTTCCTGTTTCACATGGCAGCTCAGAAACCCCTCAGTCATGCCAGGAGCCTTCCCTCAGCAGAGATGGTCTGTTTGCTTCCCTGCAATAACTCACTAAGGTGACTGGGTAAGCTTTGAAATTCTGTATTGTATCTAGTGACTTATCCACTTCATCCATTCTTGGAGCACCTCCAGTCATAAAATCCCAGTTTCCCTTCAGAAAATTGCAGACGATCTCAGCAAGCAATCTCTTCAGTGTTTTCTGCCAGGGAATCTTGATGAAAAGAAACCACATAGTTTTTCAAAGCCTTTATCATCTTTAATTGCTTTTCAAGAGGTAGTGACTCAAGACATCTGTTTAGTCTTTGCAAGCTGTAGCACAGTGTGATCCATGGGGCTAAGCCATACATACTTTCTTCACTTGCATCTCTAGGAGTAAATGCTTCCTTGAAGTAATTGTTTATGATATTAAGAATCTGCTTCTCCTGTCTTAGTTTCACTGCAATATTGAATCTATTTATTTTTTGGCGGGTGTAGGTGTGAATCACATAATTGTGCTGGCTTTAAACCAGTATTTGATTAGGGCCTCAGAGAGGAGAAAGAGGCATTTCTTCCCTTTGCCACCCAAAGAACAAAGCTGTTGCTTGCCCAGTGATCTCCAGTGGTCCCAGGGCACACGGAATACAAGCTTGCCCAACACTGCCTGAAGGGAAAGCTGCCCTCCTGCAGGAGGCTGTGAGGGAAGAACCTGATGCCCCCAACATCGACTCCTCTGTGATTTGTGGTTCATGGCCACTCCCTTTGTGCTATCTGGGCTGCAGGGGCTGGGCTCTGCAGCAGCTCTGTCTGTCCCACTCCCCAGGATGGCTGATCCCTTACCAGATAGAGCTTCTTGAGCTTGGAAACGCCGAGCCCTGCTGTGGTCTTTATCTTGTTTCCTCGAAGCTCCAGGACCTCCAGGCTGAACAACTGGTCGTGACTCAGGCCCTGCACTGTCTCGATTTTATTTTCTGAGTGCCAGAGGAAGAAGAAACAAGGAGTTAATCCCACCTTTCCAAGAGAGTGTCCCCACAAGACAGGTAGACCGTATCACCTTTCAGGCTGAGGTTGGCTAGGAGGGGGTGAGTAAGGCCCTCAAAATCCATGATGCGGTTGCGATCAAAGCTGATGACTTGGAGGTAGGGCAGCTCCTGCATGCTGGCACTGGTGAGCAGATTCTCATCCACCTTCAGCCAAAGCAGCTGGGTTAGGCTGCTCAGTGGGGCCAAATCTTTCAGCTTGTTCTTCGACAAATCCACATACCGCAGGTGAATGAAGCGTTCGAGGAGGCTGATGTCTGTCAGGCCCCTGAGGGAGAGTGAATGTGAATAAAATATCTCTCATATTTCTCCACTACCATCTTTTGGATTTCTCCTTGCCACTACTGGAGGAAGGGCAACCACCTCTCCTACTTCCCTGCTGCTAGAAAGCTCTGCTGAGAGAAGGAAGAAAACGGCAGGTGATAGGGACAGGCCTGTAAGCAAAGATGAATGGTAAGACTGGACATGCTTTCTTGGCAGAGGGAGTATTTATTCCAATTAAATTGTATCTGTCAGGACAGGGCACAACCAGAGCAGAGAAATGGGTAAGTTTTGGGGAGGGGTCTGTTAGACAATAGTGTCAACACAAAGGATTGAGTGGAAGGACTTTTCTAGTGGAAAAAATAGTGGTTGAGATACCCTATGGGGCTGCTGAAAGAAAGTCTTAATGGGGCCTTAGTTGGGTGGCTGTGCTGGGGAGGCTGAGGCTCCAAACTGTTCCAAGGCTGTTGTGGCACAGTACTTAGAGCTGCCTGCCTTGAAGGTTAGCAATTAGGAGGCCAGATGTGAATGGGTATTTCTCAAAGTGCCTGTAAGGGAGGTCACTCTGTGCAGGCCCCCCTAGGAGAGTGCAGTCCAGAGCGATGGGCAGGCTTAGGACACACTGGTGTTCCCAGAGGTGTGTCTGGAGGCAGTGCCCAGGGCTGAGGATGGACAGGCTGTGCTGAAGCCCAGACTGGAATGCAGGGGCTGGAGAGCAGGGCCTGGACATGCTCCTACCCTGCACGGCCGGTCCGGCACAGCACTCCATGGCCATGGAGTAAGGAAAGGGCTTCTGCCGGGTCAGGCACTGCACACTCACTTGTCTTTGGCTTCAAACTTCACATAGGCGTGGGCCAGCCCGTTGCTGGTCTTACTGAGGAGAGAGAGGCCCTCCTTGAGGTGTTCCTCCGTCAGGGGACAGGGAACCGGCTCCTGGGAGAGAAGGAGAGCACAAGGCCAGCGCTGGCCCAGCCGCAGCCGGGCGGTGCTGAAAGCCTCCTCCTCACCTCTTCTTCCTTCTCCTCATCCTCCTCCTTCTCCTCCCCGTGCTCCTTCTTCCCCTCCTCCTCCTTCTCCTCGTCCTCCATGCCGGGCGGGCCGCGCTGGCCGGGGCGCGGCCGCTGCCCCGGGAACGGGGGCGGGCCCGCCGCCCGCAGCGCCGCGGGCGCGGAGAGCTCGGGGCGCGTCCCGCCCGCACCGCGGGCGCGGAGAGCTCGGGGCGCGTCCCGCCCGCACCGCGGGCGCGGAGAGCTCGGGGCGCGTCCCGCCCGCACCGCGGGCCCGGAGAGCTCGGGGCGCGTCCCGCCCGCACCGCGGGCCCGGAGAGCTCGATCCCGCTCCGCCTGCCGCCTGGGCGACATCTGCCGCTGGCCGCCTATCCACACAACGGCAGGATTTCCCCTGTGGGAAGGGATCTCTGTGCGCGCCCAGCTCAAAACGGGGCCCGTTCGAAGTCAGGCGGGGTGGTGGGCACTCGGGCGGTGAATGCCTAATTAACGCTTAATTTACCCTCTAGTAAATGTTTAATTAACATGTTGAGCAGAATTAGTCTTGGGCTTTGCATGAAGCCTCCCGGTTATGAGCACGTGGATGCGAGGAAGGGGTTTTTGGGGTGCACTGCTCCAGCCCTGTCCTCCAGGCTGCGGGGCTGGGAAGGGTTGAGGCTGCCCGTGCCCAGCCCATGCCAACAGCACCGGGTGTTTACCAGCCAGGAATGCGGCTCAGAGCTGATGGTCAGCAGTGTTGTGCAGTTCATACAAAGTCCAAGGCTCTTTCCCTTCAGTGCACTTTGCTCCTTTGCAGTGCCTGGGTAACATTAGTGCTAGGTAAGCTGCTTCAAGCAGAGCTGCTCACACAACCATCAGCTATCGCCCTTCCTGCAAAGCACCCCTGCACTCCGGGCTGCACCGCAAGCTGCGTTCTGCCTTGTCCTGCTAGACTCCCCAGTGCTGACCCCTTCTCCTGTGCTACACATGTGAATGTGAATCTGAGTTCACTCCCTGCTCATTACCACACAACCACAGATTGGTTCGGATTGGAAGTAACCTCAAAAATCCGCTCGTCTCAATCCCTCTGTCACGGGCAGGGATGCCACCCTCTAGACCAGGTTGCTGAGGGCTCTGTGCAACCCAGCCTTGAGCACCTCCAAGGATGGGGCAGCCACAACTCCTCCGGGCAACCTGTTCCAGTGCCTCACCACCCTCAGAGTAAAGCATTAATCTGCATATGAACACTTCCTTTCCTGCCTTTGCCTCCTGCCCTAAACATCCCCTAATTACAGAAACACGAATCTTTAAACTAGAAAATTTTTGTTTAGATTCTATATCCCAAACCTAATTATACCAACAATTAAGGAGGGTATGTACTAAAACCTGGCCTGCACACCCACACAGGAGCACAGGCGGTGATGGCAGGAGGGGGAGCCCAAGCAGCACCTGCCAGGCTGCTTCCAGGCCCGTCCCAGGAGCCATCAGCCCAGTAAAGGCCCATTTCGAAGGGCACAGTGGCAGGTGGAAACCCAAATTAAGGACTCAGAGAAAAGAACACCCTGTCCAGTGCCATCCCAGGGGAGCCTCAGCCCCAGAGCACCTTTAGCATTGGGGGTGTTGCTGTATTCAGGGGTGTGGGACAGGATGAGACGCAGGGGAAGAGCATTTGGGGATTGCACAGGACTCGTTAGGGAGTGATTAGGGCAGGAGCCAGGGTGACCTAGGTCACAGAGAAACAAATACAGCACACAGGAATAAAAAGGGCCAGTCCTGTGTAAATGGTTTGTGATGATTTGTCCATGTCCTGCACCTGATCAGCGCAGCCTGTCAGATCTTCTCATTAAACTCCTTCTGCACTTTGCCCTGCATGAGGAACTCGTGGTCAGAACACCACAGGGAGCTGCTGCTGGGGGCTGGAGAGGTTGGGAGTGAGGGGCAGCTCCTGGGCACTGCCTGAGGCAGCTGCTGGAAGGAGACCTGCTGTACACGAGTGTAAATTCTTCTGTAAATACACAGATGGACACAGACGCTCACTAGCGCACTTCTGTCCTGCTCAGCTGGAGCAGGGCGTGGGATGAGGCTGTCAGTGCTGTGTGGGAGTGCTCTGTGTGGATAGATCTGTGTGGTCAGCCATGGCTGTGTTTAAGTACAATATATTCAAAGTCACAGAATATTCTGAGTTTAAAGGGATACCCACAAGGATCATTGAGTCCAGCGTGTGTGTGGTGCCTACTGGGAATACAGGCTCAGCCTGGTTATTGTTTGGGGCTGAGGATGCGGAGCCATTGCAGCCTCTCTCAGGCTGTTACATCTGGCACAGTGCATTTTTCTCCAACAGCAACCTGTTTAAGATCCAACCACTACAGTTTGCTGTGAGGATCTGGCAGTATTTCCACTCCAGAGAGCTGCAGTCCTGCCAGGAAGCAGACAAAAAAAAAAAAGAGAAACAAGATCTGGCACTCCTGCTGATACAGAAATTATTTTCCATGAGTTTATTCCTCATTAAATGAATGTTTTCATGCCCCTGAATTCTCTCAAAGCAGTAAGATCAATGCCAGCTCCCATCTGTTTTCTTCTATGTAGGTCACTCTCCTGGGCTCTTGTACTGTGGGCAGGGCTGGGCAGGAACAGGAGCAGATAGCAGAGCTGCAGCGGGTGGTGGCCCAGCCCTGAGTGATTGTACCCAGTCCCTGCAGCCTTAGGATCACCGTGTGCCCCTGCTGCATCACTGCTGCTCTGGTCTGTATGACCCAACAGCCCCAACCTACAGCCATGGACCAGCAGTCTCTCAGAAACATGTGCTCTGGTTATAGAAAACAGTTTTCAGTTTGCCTTTTTTTTTTTTTTTTTTTTTTTTTTTTTTTTTTTTTTTTTTTTTTTTTTTTTTTTTTTTTTTTTTTTTTTTTTGAACCATCCTCCTTCTTTCTATTTCACTCCACACACATACAGAGCTGGGAGCTGCCATCTCCTTGCTGCTGTCAAGCCCGTCCTTCTCAGACCACTTGATATCCTAGGAAGATCCCTCCCATCCAGCTAGGCAGCAGGACCGCCCCCAGCACCAGAGGCTTTTTCCTCCCTGCTCCTCAGCTCTTGGCCCCTTATCCCTCAAGTGATGCTAGCACTAGCAGCTGGAACACTGTCCATAGGCTCCCAAGGATGTACTGCCTCACAAATAAGCTCCTCCTTGTAAGGCACTTTTTTTTCATCACCCTCAGTACTACCAAAAAAACCCCAGCAGCTAGCTGGGAAGTAACATCAAGTCTTGCTTTCTCACCCACCAGCACATGGCTGAAAGCAAGCAGCAAGTACTGCCCCAACACAGGGCCTAAATAAAATCCTTCCCTGCAGAGACTGAGCTGCTCCACTCTACATTGAGTGAGCAAAGTCAATTACCAGGCTTACAGGCAAAGAGCATGGATGAGCACATTACTGAGCCTGCCAGGGAAGACTGGCTCACTGGTGGAACAGCCAGGTGCTCCAGCAGCTACTGGAATAGACACACAGATATAACAGAATCACCACAGGCCCAAAGAAGAGCTGTTATATGCCAGAAGCAAGATGCAGGTTGAACCCATGTAGTGCCTACTGCAGTAATGGTGGGCTCTCAGGGAAAAGCCCACAAAACCCTCTCTGCAACCAGCCACCTCAAAAAGCAGTAAGTTCTCTATGCTGCTTGTCCCCGAGATGCTTCCAAGTAAGATCCAGGACACACCTTTGCTTTTTCTGTTTTTCATTTATTGTTCAGTACGGGACACAGGTGAGGTAAGACATCTCACAAGGGTCTAAGCTGAGAGATTCCTTGCTGATGGAGCTGAAGGATGCAAGAGACTGTGGTTCCTTTTTCCTCCCCGCAGCACCAGCGGCTCCCTGTCCCTGCAGGGCTGCAGGGAAAGGGAGAGATACTGGCCAGGTGGGCTGTGAGCTCTGAACAGGTCAACAGGAAACTGAGGATTCAGCTCAGAGTGGAGACTTGTCAAGACTCTGCCGAGACAGGCTCCTGCAGACAGGACTCTGACGTGGTGGGGGTGGTTAGCAGAACATCTAGAACAATGACTGTGGAGGGGGAAAGCCTCAAGGGAGGCCTCCGTACTGAGATGTGTGCAACAAAAGGTCCCTTCTTGCTTCCACTTCTTTACCACAAGGGACAGCTCCTCATGGGGTGCTTCAGTGTTTGGCATTGATAATATCCACAAACTCTGGCTTGAGAGAAGCTCCACCAACAAGGAAGCCATCCACATCATGCTGAGAGGCCAGCTCCTTACAGTTGCTGCCAGTGACAGAACCTAAGGAGGGAGCAGTGTTTTAAGGTCAGATGTGCCAGCTCTAGGAAAATGGGGCCAGAGCAAAGGCAGGACTGGCAAGGTACCAGCCACCTCTTACAGACAGCAAGACTCTCCCATTTATCCAAGCAAGCTACCCAAACAAGGTAGAAGGTGATTCTTTATGCCCTGAAAGTCAAGAGTTTCCTTGCCAGGAAGAAATTATGTACAACTGCAGCAACAGGTAGAGAAATGAAGCACTTCCTGCCCTGGAAAGTCGCTCCAGACTCACTTACCTCCATAGATAATCCTAGTTGACTGAGCAACAGCATCAGACACGTGGCTTTTCAGCCACCCCCGCAGCTTCTCATGAACTTCCTGAGCCTGCAACACAACGCAGGAGTCACACTGAGGCATGAGCCATTCTGCACACAGTTCCCTTCCAAAGACAAGGGAACAGATATTCTCTAAGTCACTGAGAATCTCCAAGAGATTCTCCGTAAGAATCTTCAGGAAGGTTTCCTGAGGGGGAAGGGTCAGTTGGTCATTTAAGCAGCACCTCCCATGCTCATACCTGTTGGGGAGTTGCAGTTTTACCAGTTCCAATAGCCCAAACTGGCTCATAGGCAAGAACCACTTTACTCCAGTCCTTCACATTATCTAGGGAGGAGAGAAGGTAGAGGTAAGCACAATACCCCCATACTGGGAAGAGCAGAGCTAGAAAATGGCTAAAAAAAAAACCAAATCAACCATTTCTTTTTCCTCTTACCAGCAATAGCCTTGGTCTGTTCAAAAACCACTTTCTCTGTTATGCCAGCTTCTCTCTCATCCAGCTTCTCTCCAATACAGGCAATGACTCCAAGGCCCTCAGCCAGAGCATGAGCCACCTTCTGTCCAATCAGCTGGGAATGGAAAAGAAACAAGGCAGCCAATAAAACAGGTTGGAGGTATGTTTTAATTGTTCACTTTCTCAGTCTTTGCAGACCCATTGTAACTGGACCATGTCTCCATTCTATGAGGCCACTCACCTCATCAGACTCTCCAAAAACATGCCTTCGCTCTGAGTGGCCGAGGATCACCCATGCAGCTCCAATATCCTTGATCATTGCTGGGCTGGGGAGAAAGGAGATGACTCACTGGAGGAAGTTCACATCCCAGAGGCACCCTAACTTTATTCTCTGGGCTCACCTGATCTCTCCTGTGAAAGCTCCTTTTGGTACTTTATAACAGTTCTGTGCTGCCACGCCAATCTTTGCATCGAGCTTCTGACGGGCAAAGTCTAGGTAGATGGCAGGGGCTCCACAAACCACCTCTGCAAGGCAAAGCACCTTGTAACCCTTGTGACAGGAAAAGGGCAGAAACTGTACCCAGCCACTGATCCCAAATCCCAGCCGCAAGAGGTCATCCCTCTCTCCTGGGAAGGCACAGCCTGCCCCTCCTCACTGACATTTGGTGGCCCCTCTGCCACAGGGCAATCCCCGCTATCCGATTACTCAACAGCAGGGAGGAAAGCCTTTTCTAGGGGGCTGGACAGGCGACACCATGCCGACGGCCAGCTCACAGGGGTCCCTTGGGAAGTGCCCAAATGAACGATCGCGTGAGAATCCCACCCTGCAGCCTGGCCTGGCCGAACCGGGCTGCGCCTGGGGGTATAGCCGGGCGCGGCGGCGGGGCGGGCGCAGCGCAGCTCGGTGCTCCGAGACCGCCGCTCGCAGGGCGCGGGGGCCAGGCCGAGGGGAGGCCCGGGCCCGCCGCGCGGGGTCCCCGGTGGTCGGCCGCACGTGGCGGCCGGGCCCGCAGCAGCCCGGATCCGGTTTCGCGAGTATATTTAGCCGCGGGGTTATATTTAGGCCCCGCCGCCCTCTGACATTTGGCGCTCCCCCGCCCGGGCCCGGGCCCGGTCCCCGGCTCCGCAGGGCCGTGTGGGACGTGCGCTACGTGCGGGCCGCGCCCTCACCGGTGTCGGCGGAGAGCTTGGCGCTATTCAGCGTGTGGATGAGCTCGCCCAGGCTCTTCTTGTCGCCGTTCATCTTCCAGTTGCCCCCCACGAAGAACTTCCTGGGCGCCATGGCGGGCGGGAGCGGGAGCGGGGCCGGCGGCGGAGGAGACGCGAAGGTCAGCGGCGGCGGCAGCGCGGAGACCGGCGCCCTTTTATAGCCCGGCGGCGGCCGAGGCCCCGCCCACCCCGCCCCGCGCGGGCCCGCCCCGCCCCGCCCCGCCCCGCGCGGGCCCGCCCCGCCCC